CCCCGCTGCCGCCGGCCCCAGGACTGCGGGTCTGCGGGGAAGGCATTTCCAGTTGTGTGTGGTGGGGGGGAGAGGTTACAGGACTGCTCCGGGGGGGCTCCTCCCGCATCTGGGGGATGGGAACCCCTGACCCCGCCCAGCTGGATGGAGCCCTCCCCTGGGGCCCTAGCGCACAGCTTGTCCGTTCACTGCTAGCGTTCACTGCTAAGGGAGGTCCGCCTAGACTTGTCCTGACCCCTCCCAGCGGCGCCTGTCAGTGGAAGGATCTGCCTGAGCCACCAGAATGCAAATGAAGGGGGAGTGGCAGTGGATGGGAAACGGGAGACCTGGGTGTTCCTTCTGGCTCTGGCTCTGCCGGCCAGCATGCTGGGTGACCTGGGCAAGGCCCTTCCCCTCTCTGAGCTTCAGTGTCCCCGTCTTGTCGTTTGGAAGTGCCTTGGCCAGATGCCCTTGGAGGCCCCCCAAAACTCAGCCGCTTCTTGCTCTTGTCGGAAGGGGTGGGAGGGTGGGCGTGGTCCCCGGGGGAGTGCTGTTCCCTGACTCCGGGGCCCTCACCCTCCCCTTACTGTTCTCCCCCGGCAGCGCTGGGCACCTGCCCTGGTCATGAGTTTCAATGCGAAGACGGCACCTGCGTGGCTGCGGTCAAGCGTTGCAATCAGGAGCTGGACTGTGCTGATGGCAGTGATGAAGCTGGCTGCCTGCAGGGTGCGTGGGGCGGGACAAGGGTTGGGCTCAGGGCCAGAGGGCTTCCTGGTTCCCGAGCCAGCCCTTCGGGAGAGCTGGGTTTACCCCAGAGTGAGTCACCCACATTCCCTCCCTGGGGGGCCTAGTGGCACATCAACTGTATTTGCAAGTACTGTAAAGGCCTAGAGAGACGTGGAAAGGCACTGGACGAAAGTCCAACCCCACTACTCCACTTGTGGTCCAGGCTGCCCTGGGCACCCCCTCCATTCTCAGGTGGCTCTTCTGGTCACCCTGCTTGGAACTGAGGAGCCGGGATCCTGACTCCTGGGTCCTCTGGCAAAGCCTCTCCCC